GGAGCTGCAGGAGGAGGCCAGGGAAACACCCCGGCAAGCTTTGCATACAAACGGCAGGGGTGGCCGGGAGCCCTCGGGCCACTAGCCCAGGCAGAGTGACCCTTGGTGTCTACCCAGGCAGTAGAGGGAAGGAGCAGGGCATGGAGACTGGCTAGATGGAGCAGAAGCACAGAGGGCATCAGAGAGAACGCAGGTACGAACCACACACGGGGGGGAGCCTGAATCGGCCATGCAGGCAAGGAAGGGAAATGCCATACCAACGGGCACGGGGCATCCAGTCCGTCCAGCCCTGGTAACCCCGGCTCCCCTTTCTCTCCTTTAAAACCTCGGTGTCCCTGTTCACAAAACCAACCACGATGATTATTTAGGTCAAGGCTGGCCAGCTCCAACCGTGGAGTGGAGAGGCCCAGTCCTACCCTGGCCAGGATGCAGGACCCTCAAGGCATCTACAAATAGGAACTAAATCCCAGTTGACCCCTCACCTCCCCATTCAGCCTCTGCCCTCTCTTGGTGCTCTAGGGAGCTCAGCTACGAAATATGTAATAACCAGCCGCCTCTCTACTGGGCTTCCTCTGTCCATAGGTTTGCTTAGAATAAACACAGGTACGCTTCGACTTTCGTGTCTCACAATGTTCAGAACCTTCGAGTGGATTGAGAAGCCTGGTGGATCTGGATGATGTGCCACAAATGATTGATTATTGGCTGGTTTGGGAGGCTCCCCATGGGATGTCTACCAATTTGGGTCTGCAGCTTTAAAGGTGCTCTTTGGATGACTGACAGGCACTGGGTAGCTGTGTTATAAAAGCCAGTCTGCCTTGCTCTGCCACGTCCTAAGTCCTAAGTCCTAAGCGTTGCTGATACCTCAACAGATGCTAATGATAGTGTCCTGCATCCTGACTGAGTGAGGACTCAGACAGCATAAACCGCTGGCCACTGAGGTGGCCAGGAAACGAAGAAGGCAAATCAGTGGCTCACAAATGCTACCCTGGCTTCCGAAGCCATCCTCCTCGGGCTGAACACTGAGGCCTTCTCTGAAAACCTTCCTCGTGGTTTCTGCACTTCTACAGATCAATGATTCCGTGTCTTCAAAGGACAAGGATCCAAAGGAAAGGGATTGACCCAGAATTACTTGCAGCTGTGGTTGTCACGCAGCACCGACAGCAAGCAGAATTTCACTGTCAGTGAACACAGATTGGGGTAGCCTCAGTGCAGCCATTTGGTTCTCATCTAACTTGATTCGCCTTCTTTGTTTCCAACTTGCAAACCTCAAGGGGAAAACCAGAACAATGCAAGTGATAAATAAAGACATACCAACGGGCAGGGGGCATCTAATCCAGGCGCTCCTTGGTCTCCCTTATCCCCTTTAGGCCCTCTAGAGCCTTTCTTCCCCCTCTCCCCCTGTAAATAATGGTTTAGTCCAAGAAAAAAAAAACACATCATCAAAACTTTAGGCTCATTCATGTGTGAAGGTTAGAGACAGAAAAAGAAAATTAAAGTGGAAAAAATGACTTCTCTGAAATAGGATATTTTCTCCATTAGGATTTGGGGTCAATACCCACCTCCCTCCAACTAAACACCTGAGAATGCAGCTCCAGGGGGTGGGAAGGGGCTGGGAAGCAGTAGCCCCAGAGCAGAAGGGCCGGGAGGTGGGCAGTGCCCATTGAAGACACTGCAGGCCAGATTTGCTAACTAAGTCCAGAGGGGGTCTGTGATGAGCTGTGACTGAAGGACCCACTTCCTTCTCCCTGGAGTGTGTCTTTGAAAGTTCTGGGGCTGACAACCTTGAGTCCCAGTTGGTTCTCATACCCCTGATACTCTGTTAGGAGGCAAGATGATTTTGCTCAGAGCCCTGGAGTATGTGCATGTGTGCGTGTGCATGCCTGTGTGTGAACACAGTATGTCTGAGCATATGCATGTACATGCTTGTATGTCTGTGAACATACGCGCATGTGTGGGTACGTGCTTGGGCATGTGTACACATGTATATACCCATATGTGTTTTTGGGTGTGTGCACATGTGCATATGTGTGTTTGGGGCTGGCAGGTGGGCTCAGCTGCAGCCTCCCGCTCTCTGCCTGTCTGTCATAGGCAGCTCTTTGTATATAGACATATTGGTTCAAGGAACTCATTTGCTTCTGAAGAGCTTCAGTAAACATCAGCTTTCTAAATTGAATCCTAGTTTGTATATGTCAGGGTCCATTTATAGAAGGGCTGCAGAATTCTTTTTAAAAGTGAAGCCTCAGCTCTCCGATGAACTTGGATTTTTATATGCCCTGTTTCCTTATAAAGGGGCCAAGCATGCCCCGAGGGAGTCTTCCTGGGGAGGGCTCTCCTCTATGAAAGGCTGATAGTCTGACATTTGGGGACTTCCGGGTGCTACTCCAGGGTAATGAGACCTTGAAGGCCAGCAGCACGTTGGTCAGAACAGAGGCCTGGTGTCAGAGCTGGTCTTGCCAGTTGTCGGCAGTGTGTCTTTGGGATCTACTCTGGGAGTCACTTTACTCATCTGTACAATGGGTACAATAGCACCTGCCTCAAACGTCTGTTGTGAGGTCTTCATGCACATTAGCTGCTTAATGATGGCCTAGAATGCTCAGTAAGTGAGAGCTGCGTCATAATAATAATGATGATTATCGTTTCTGGTTAGCCAGGCTAGGAGCCAAAGCTGTGGCCAGAGGCAAGTCTCGGGTCTCCTGTGTTCCCGCAGTGACAGGCTACAGGGTGTAGGCTGGTTAGGGGAGGTGGAGGATAAGACTATTTTTGATGTTTGCCTAGATCTTACTTAAGTTCCTTGATTCCAAAGGTTGTCTGTTCTTTTAAATATACTACTACAAATGAATTGTCTAGAACATAAATCCTTACTTAGAAAATGACATGCCTTTAAGAGGAAAGGTGTATGTCAAATTAGGATTAATCCTGTTGGCTCAAAGTTATGCCCACCGACGAGAACATTACAGCATGAATAATCCCCAGCCGGCGGGCGAGCAAGATCACCAGCCGTCTGGACGGGGAAGCCCCGCTCAGGAGTGTGGGCCTCATTCTCTCAGGGTCATGAGCACAGTGCTCATGAAGGAGGGCAAAGCTGTCTGGCTGGGGGACTCAGGCCCTGGATGGTTTGCCGGTGGGTCACACAGGGTTGGCCACGTGGCCGCCTTTCACACCAGCAACGGCAGTGGCCCCACATCAGGTGCTTCTCGAAGGTGTCAGAGCAATAGCGTTACCTACATCCTCCAGCCTCCCACGGCCAGCGAGTGGCACAGAGGAGGCCCCGGCAGAGGGAATGCTGCTGGTGAGGACGGGCAAATAAAACCAGGCAGCAGACGTTTCTTCAAAAATAGAGATAAATATATAAACTCTGACTTTGGAGGAAATACATTGGCAGCTGGAGGAGGGGAAGGGAACAGGTGAGGGATGTAACATTATTATAACGGGGGGACATTGCTAGGGTAGTGGAGAAAGAGTGAAGGAGTGAAGGAAGGAAGAGACAGACCCGGGCCAACAGAGATGGTGGAGGAGGGAGAGGTGGGGTGACAAGGTCGATTTAGGGGAGCAAGACACATGCATGCATACATGCACTTTGCGCACACACGTATGCACACGCACACGCACTGCAGGCAGAGCATCTCAGAGACCAGCAGTCGCCACGTTGCATGCACTGGGACCTTTTCGGCTGGCCGCCGGCAGGAGGCTCCGCACTAACACCCACTTTTCCTGACGATTAAGTGGCTCGATTCACACCACCTTTATCCTTTGACCGATTTCTTCCTAAACGTGGCTCCTGGGTCAAATCCACAGAGCCGCTTAGGGAGAAGGGCAGTCACTTGGTGACAAGGGCAGGGCAATCTTTCCACTGGCATGTGTGTGCCTATCAGAGAGCTCCCGTCTGGGGCTCCAGGCCTTTGCCTGCCACTAAGAGGACCGTGCTCCCTCCATGAACAGAAAACAGGCTCTAAGGCCATGCTCTGGTGGGACATAGAGAAGCATAATTTGAAGGCTGTGCCTCGGATCACTGTAAAACGGGAGAAATCTCTGGCAGGGCCCTCCAGGCATGATGCGGGCTAAGTTTGAGAGACACCCCCAAAAACTGGTGGGGTGGGGGTGGGGGCTCTGATTTTATTTAAAAAATAAATAAAATCCCCACACCAAAAAATACACACAAAAATACTGTTCAAGGGAAAGCAAATGTCACCTCTGCTTAAGTTTTCTTTGTGTTAGAGATTGACAACCAAGCCCTCAGGTCTCCCTGGAAAACTCTGTTAGGGCGGCTGGCATGAGAGGTCTGATGAGGAAGTGAGATTTAAGGAAGACTCTTCGAGGATATTCTGGCATCCTGTGAGTCAAATCTCTTGAAAAAGAAGAACAAGCATTTCCTTAATGCAGAAACCCGCTTTTGGGAATAAGCCAATTGGCCCTTTATGATGTACTTGGAAGAAGGTTTGTGCGCTGGAACCGTTTTCTGAACTTTTATGAAGTGACACATTCCTAATTTATACGTGGGATGGGGGAAGTGCTAGGCAGGGGAAGCAGAGAAAACGAGCTTCTCTCTGATTCCTGGGTCACTCGGCACCTCACTCCTTATGCCTCAGAGCCACCGGCCTCCATCTGACCCGCTGGCTGTGACAAGGGTGCCCTGCCCGTCCTGCTGCCACTGCTAGAGCAACAGGATCGATTTTTCATCTTCAAATGGTTCAGTGCCTCAAGCCAGCTGAAAAGGTCCTAAGAAATAGTTTAAAAATATTAACCAAACGTAATAAAGGAAACCAGAACAGTTTAGAGATAAATCAGAAGGGAGGTTAATATGCCCACTAACAGGTGGAATGACCAAGGTCTGCGAGGCCTGAGTTCTTTCATGCCACACAAAGAAAAGTGGCTTCCCCACCTGCCTTAAAAGGATGGCCCCAAACCCAGAAGTAGGCCTGTTTATTCTGGTGGTTTCTAGACTTGGTCTTCCCATGGACAATCTGGGAGGGGTAGCCCTGCCTGCTCCCTTGCTTACAGATGTGCTCAGTAGACACATCTTCAGTGAAGAGAACGAACTGAATCAGTGCCAGATATAAACGTACAGATCCCGACCCCTTCTATTCATGTGCATGGGGTCAATGTTCCAAGCTCAGCCGCAAGACCCAGGTTCCAGGAACCTCGCACTCTGCCTCTAATTCTCCGGGAGCTCAGTGCGTTTCAGCGTTGTTCTGGGACTTGCTTCTCCATCGGTTCCCACCCTCCCCATTCTTTCTCTTCTAATTCTTAGATCCTTGGATTTTAGGACCCACTTGGAGACACACTCTGAGAGGCTGCATGTGCTCTGAGAACGGCCTGGCAGGAGCAGCAGGGAAGACATTCTAGAAGACATCCAGAAGTTATCTCTTGGTCAGGTGTGGTTAAATGATCCCTGCTGCGCTCAAATTCTGAAGGCCATGGCATAAACCGAACAGCATCACATGGCTGTGGGTGTGTGGACATTCGATAAGTGTCCTGGTGAGCATGGCAGAAACCGAAGGGAGGGCATGGGGCCTAAGGAGGTGCCGTTTACTTCACAGTCCCGCTGACTCTTCCAGGGAAGAGAAGTAATGTCTGTAAGAGCTCTTGAAGGACTGGCTGCTGGCGACAGCCATGTGCTTGTTCTTAGAGCTGAGACTTATTTTCTCTTTCACCAGTGGTCTAGAACACCTGGTAAAACTGAGGCTCAGTAACAAAGGGTCTAAAAATATCATTTAGGGGCCCATTATTAGGGCAAGAGAGGGAGCTGGACACGAGGCTCCGCTATTAGATTGCAAGGCAGAATTAGATGGCCAGCTTGGGATTCGGGTCTCCTCCTATCATGCAGGAAAATACAAGTTTCCACATCAGGATTAGGCCTCAGGTTCCCTGCAAAGCACAGATTAAGCCCTTCACTACAAAGCCTTTCAGTTTAGGATGATTTATCAGAAAAAACTCTGTTTGCCATGTTGGGTCAGGAATCCTCAATTGATCATTCCACCCCATCATGAAGACATTAGTAACCAGAACCAAAGTGTCAAAGCTCAAGACTCACCCGGTTTCCTTTGTCCCCGGGTGGTCCATGTAAACCCTGCAATAAATCAGTGAAACAAAGCCTCGTTAAGGAGAAAACACAGGACAGTCACACAGTCCTACTTTCCAGGCTTGTAAATCTCTACTGATGGGAGACAGCTTTAATTATCCCCATTTTACAGAAAGGGACAAGGAAGCAGCTCACTCCAGGAACCTGACCTAGGGGGAAGTAAGGAGTTTGGGGCAAAGGCAAGAACGTGGTCTGGCTCTCTCGCTCACAGTCCATGTCCGGGTCTGGGTCATGCTCTTCTGAGCTCTCGTGGGGAGCAGCATGGGGGTTGAAGGGCATTTTGGGAACATAGACTGCTCTTGTTTCCCTGGCTCTCCTGCCAAAATCTTGCTAGAAGGTGACTCCACAGCTCCTAAGTCCCTCTCTTCAAGGTGCAAAATGCTCTCCATTCTTCAGCGAGAGGGTGAGCACAGCGCAACGGTGGCCTGGACACGCCCGTGTAGCCAGCATGTGTATGTACACCCTCCAAGTGGACGGGAAACAGGTGTAGGCTCCTGTAGGCAGACACTCAACTTCCATAACCAAGTCGTGGGACCACGCTGCCGATGGGAAGCCAAGTCCGTCCTTCTAGGTCCCAGCTCCCTCAGGAAAGCGGCCCCACCTTGTAGCATAGAGGTGTGGTTCACCCCCCTCTCAAGGCAAGGATCGGGGCACATTCATTTGCGAGGCCCACTGCATCTATTACAGAGGCATGCGGCAGGAGGGGCTCACGACTGTTACCACATCGGTCACCCAGTCCACGTGGCTATGGACCTGGTCCCCCACCAAGTCCCTGGTGCCCCGCAGGGACTCCTAGCCCATCCTCAGTTGCCTCTTGGTTGCTTCCACTGTCATGGAAAGGAGAATTCTCCCTTGGCCCCAGAGTTTTGCTCCAGGCTCTGGTGGTGTGTTTGACAGAGGTGTTTCTGATGAGAGTGGAGAGAGGATGGAAAGAAAGCTACGATCCCATGAGACTTACAGGAAGCCCAGCTGCTCCCATTGGTCCTGTCATCCCAGGGTCTCCTTTGCTGCCCTGAAGGGGAGAAAGAAACTGGTGAATCCTCCCAGACGCAGGGACAATTCTCAGTATCTGGGGTCTGTTATGGTGTGAAACTCCTGCACGAGAGCCCTTGGGGAAGCAAGGTCTGTGCGGAAGGGCGGGTGCCACTGCCAAGGACTCTGCCTGGGAGGGGCTTGCTCTCTAGAGGCTTACTCTCCCTCTAGCAAAGGTCAGCCCTCAAAGCCTTCTGCACAGACTGGGTTACGTCCTGGGCGTACTGGCTGGTTCAAGGCAGAGGCAAGGAGAGGAAAAGGAGCAGAGGGGCAGGGAAAG